ATGTTTATCCTGATGGAAGTAATTTCCATACAATCAATTATTAAAATCAGCAAGTTTACAGAATGGTCTTCACTTGCATTAATTATTTTTGCACATTTCGTCAACTGTTTCTTCTTTTGGGTTTATTTTTACACCCTAATACACACCTGTGTTTTGGGCATGAGTTCAGCCGGAGTATACGTCAAAATAATTTCAGTTAAACTAAAAAAAATTGCCAATTTATTGATACCACGCTTTAAAATGTTCAAGAATTGCCGTAAACCAAAATTTCATTCAGCAAACAGAATTGAAAAAATTAATTTTCAGTTTATCAGCACATTAGTCGCCTTTTGTCGTGGCAATAAAATGTTTGGCAGACTATTTTTGGCCTATTTACTGGTGCAGTGTCCTTGCAGTGCCCTCATGACCATGTTGAGTGTCCATGGCCATGTTCAGTCAGACAAACAGCCGTACATCTGTGCTCTACTGCTCTATCAGTACTTTGGAATATTCGGAGTGCACCTCTTTGTTTCACTTATTACCAAACAGATCCTGAACATTGGTAAAACCTTGATGGAAATGATTGCCAGAAACAAACGAGACAACTTTCTGGCTGGCAACGTTAAGACACAAATTCGGTGCAGCAACTTGGCAATGCCCATTTGGAGCACTAACTACTACGCATTCACTTACGGCTGCTTTGGAAATGCGACGATCAATTCTTTTTCAAAAGCAAGTTGAAATAAGTATTTTTAATTTATTAAATAACATTAATTTTTTGCAGTACATTTTATTGTATGGAAAATTTTTGATAATAAGTTACAAATTGGTTAAAAACAGCTCAATCACTTAACAAAAGCAAGAGTATTTGCTGAATATAATCGACTTTGAAAAAAGTAATCTGAACCATTACAGTTTGCTAAAACTAGTTTTTTACTTCGCTAAACGTGTTATTACTCACGTTGTACTACTGTGTCACCTGACACATCGACACTCATCAATTTGTTTTTAACTGTTTTTCCTTTCAAACCAAACATTTTTGAAAACCTCACACTACAAATTGTACAAACTTGTTTATTTGTTATAACTTGTGAAGTATGAACAAATCTGCTATCTTTGTGATATCGTCGAATAAGTTGTGTAAAATCATTTACAGATATCCAGTAGCAGTTTCTTTGCATTCAGATATTGGAAATCCTCCAGTGCTGAAGTGTTTGTCAGCCAAACAGCTGCTTTTATCTTTTATAACTTCACGCAGAGAAAGTGTTGCTGATATCAGCCTCCAAAAGATTGGTGGCCTTTTCTGCCGTTCTGGTGAAAGTTGTTTGAATGTGACCCAGATCATTGACATCATTGCAAACTAAATCCACACATTGTGCTCATCATTATTGAATTGAATTGACACATTGCTGAAACTTGATCACCAGGCAGCTATGGAAATCAACTTCAACGGCAAAAAGGCTCTTGTTACCGGCGCTGGTCGTGGAATTGGCCGTGAAATAGTGAAAATCCTGCTGGAAAGCGGTGCCTCTGTGGTAGCTCTCTCTCGAACTCAGGCGAACCTTGACTCGCTCAAGTGGGAGTACCCAGAGGTGGAGTGCGTCTGCGTTGATTTGAGCAACTGGAAGGAGACGGAGAAGGCACTGCGGCCTTATGCTGAGTCCATTGATCTTCTAGTGAACAATGCTGCCTACGCCAGATGGTAGGTTTTACTTTGTTTTGCTTCTAATCGACTGAAATTAACTGTTTTTCCCAATCCCATCCCTGAAAAAGCGTTCCACTGGAAGAGGTCACCGAGGAGATGATGGACCAGCACTACGCAATCAACGTGAAAGGTAATTTTGGTGTTGGTTTTTTTGAGAGCACTTGATTCATATTTTCTGCTTCCAACAGGCGCCGTGAACGTGACTCGAATTGTTGTGGAGGGCATGAAGAAGCGCAAGTACGGCGCCATTGTCAACAACAGCTCCATCGCCTCGCTCTTCGGCCTGGTGGACCACCTGGCGTACGGCGCCAGCAAGGGCGCCCTCGACACCATCACCAAGGTACTGGCCGCCGAGCTGGGCCCCTTCAACATTCGCGTCAACTCGGTCAACCCGACGGTGACCTGGACGGAGATGGCCATGGCCGGCTGGTCGGACGAGGCGAAGCGCACCCGAATGATGGACAAAATTCCGCTGCACCGCTTCGCCGAGCCGAAGGAAGTGGCGCAGACCATCGTCTTTCTGCTCAGCGACAAGGCTTCCATGCTCAGTGGCGTCATTCTGCCAGTGGACGGTGGCCAGACCAACACCTCCTGTCCTCCTTAGAAGTGGATTCCACTCTTTCCACCTTTCGAAAACACTTTCCCCCAGAGGCTAACATAATCGATTCAGTTTATTGTGTTTTTTTAAATGCGTAAAAATAATCAACAAAAGTAACAATCGTAATAACATGAGAGAAAAATGAGCAATGATAAGGGGCGGTAAATGAGTGGAAGGGGCAGAAGGGGGTTTAAACTTGATGTAAGTTAAAACCGTAAAATAACAACTAGAAAAAAGAAGCGTTCCAATGNGGGCAGAAGGGGGTTTAAACTTGATGTAAGTTAAAACCGTAAAATAACAACTAGAAAAAAGAAGCGTTCCAATGTTGAAACATGAAGAACATTCTGAGGAAGTTGGCCAGCCAATCCAATTGTTGTTGTTGTTGGGTTTCAATTGATTCAATATGAAACTTTTGGTATCTTTGGGCAGTGTGCACTTTCTCCGTCTGACAGTTCTCACTGCTCCTCATCGTCGGGCAATCGGTCGATAAAGTCGCTAAAGATGGAAATGTACTTGTGCAGCGTCGAGTTGATCTTCGGGTCGAGAGACTGCAGCTTTGCCGATCCAATGCCGGCGCCCTTCTTGCCCATGCACACCTTGCTCTTTCGTCCAAAGGTCTTCTTGTCGCAGAGTGAGCTGACCAGTCCGCCGGAGGCCATTTCAATCAGATCCTGAACGGACTTCATCGCATCATGACCACACTGTCGAACGATCAGTCTGTTGTTGGACAAAAAAATAATGAGCTCACATTACATTACCAATTATTTGCACGCAGAAAAAATA